TCATTTGTGCTATTGACAAGCTATTCATGGCACATCCCCATGAATGAGAAGTTGTAGGAGCATTTCACTGTGTGCACGGGAGAAGTACTGGATGAGCATGAAATTGTCTGAAAATCTTCACACAATCGGCAATTATGTCGGGAGCATTCCTTTTCATCCTGTTTCTTTTTCCCATCTGATAATCTTCCTTGATAAAGAAAAGGTTAAGAACCGCTGCTCTAGTGCATTCCCCTAAATTGCAATGTTAGAGCTCTTTGGCAGAGAAATCCAAGTACTTGACGAAACTACAAATCCCAGGAGTCTAGAAGATGAAATTAGATCATAGTGCTATACAGTAATTGTAGTGCGGATAAACCCTTTAGACTTATCGCTAAACAAATATGCAAAGGATAAGGCAAACCATGTAATTTTGTGGGTTTTAAGTCACACAATTTTGACTCAAGACCAACATTTATCCCCCTTCCTTCCAGGATTTAGTGTTTATACCAGGCTAAACATATTGCTATAAGATGCAGTACAGACACTAGAAATCATGTTACCTGTTCCGGACACTATTTTGTAGGTGATACATGCTTTCTGAGCATTTAACTTACACCAACACATTTTCAAATCATACTCTTAAACCTCGAGGGATCAAAACTTGCACAGCTTCACCTAACCGAAAGCCCTATTCTCACTTTAATGATACTGCATAAATATTTCTTCATTTTATTTTAAGGGTCTTCACCCCATCCTTCAAAAATATTCATGGAGTGACTTACACGCATCATGCCCAACATTTCTCTCAAAGACAAATGAGGTCAAAATAAGAAATAATGTTTGCTAAGGGACATGGCCACAAAATAAGGATCATCCCTTATATATAGGAACAACTGGAGCACATGAACTTGCAGATGAAACCTGAAGTTCTTTGGATGTCACTTGAAGAAGCCAAAACACTTTGGATGCCCCTCACGTCTTCCATCCACCATCTAAAATCTTCGTACACCAGCTTTGTATTTGCAGTTATGAGAGTATCTGCAGTTATCTGGATAATTTCAAGTTCACTTTTCATGTTCTCTGCTCTTCCCTGCCCACCACTTTTCCTTAAGTTTTGAATGAGGCACGGACAACTCGTCCCTTAAGAGGCTGAGCTGGACGGAAATTATTCACCATCGGGATCCTTTCGTCTTCCTCGGTGGTAAACAGCAAAGTTCGGAATTTCTCCATCTGTGAAAGAGTATTATTCAAGTGAAATTCAAGTACAATAGTAATGTTATTTAAGCCTCATTCACACTACATAATAACTGGCTTTTCAAACTGAACTGAACCAGTTTAAAGGGCCCTTGTTCGCACCTGCGCCGAATGTCTGGAGCAGTTTGCTGGGGGTGCAGCGCTAAACCCATTTAAACCGGTTCTTCTGGATCCACGACATTCTCCGCTTCTTTTGAAATGAATCGATTCAGCACAAGCGTGAACACACTGTTGATCTGATTTGATTCCCTGTGGCACAGTCACCCCTGTGATGCGACTCCATGTTGAAGTGATCCATTGATGAATGTGAACGCGAAGTGGATTAAATTGGAATGGGTAGGTTCGATCACGGCTTGATTAGTGTGAATGTCTATTCGACGCTAAATCGCTTCATCGATTTGACTCAAATAACGGTTTATTATGTAGTGTGAATGAGGCCTTAGAATATTTATTGGTGTCCGGCGGTAGCAATCATATTCTGGGTAAAGTGTTGAACTTGAACCATGGCTATTTAGGTTCAAATACCCTT